TTCTTTCTTTCTTTCCATATTTTCTTTCTCTCTCTCTATTTTCTTTTGTCCATAGCCCTCCGAGCCCCGTTTTCTATACCTGCACTGACCCGTTTCTTCTTCTTCTTCTTCTTTCTTTCCTTATTTTCTTTCTCTCTCTTTATTTTCTTTTATCCGTATCCCTCCGAGCCCCGTCTTTCCACGCCCGCAGCACTTACCCAGTCGAAGCCCTTGGGAACGGCCAGAGGGACGAGTGTCTTGCGTGGCCGGTCCATGCACGTGACGCTCCTCACCAACTCGCGAATATTCCTGTGCTCTCGGCGGTCCCAGCAGCTCTGGCCGCCATCTGGAAAGGTTTTTTTTTATTTTTTAATGTGATATGAGGTGAATGTGAAGAGAGTTTTGTTTTGTGGTTGAATATTATTTTATTTTTTTTTTAGTTGAGTTACCCATTAAGTATGGGCTGTCTTATGTTTTCTTTCTATTTTGGTTTCGTTTTCTTTTACCCGTTTTCTTTATTGGTTTCGTTTTCTTTTACCCGTTTTCTTTTTTGGTATCGTTTTCTTTTACCCGTTTTCTTTTTTTCTCTTTGTTTAATCCTCGATAGAGTGATATATTAACCCATTCGCGACGAAGAAAATAAATAAAAAATGGGGAAAATGCTATGCTTATTTTTTATATTTTTGGTGAAATGTCTCTACACATAGATGGCTCTGCCTTATCTGATTTCACCTTTCCTTGAATTAGCGGGAAAATGTATTTTTTACTAGTGCTATGAATATCGATTGTGTTATTTTTTATTATAAACATTATAGGTACTATAATAGTAATAGCAAAATAATATAACGTAAAATATTTTCGTAAATTAAAGAAAACGGTAAACAGGCGAGACAGGCAGTACTCGTAATTGGCTCATTGGTGTTTTAGTACAAGTGTAGCCAACTATGTGTAAAAGCAATTAAAAACAAGTGAACTCACGGTAAGCTTGTCACGTATACATGACAGCCCGTCGCGAATGGGTTAATATGGCTAGTTAAGTATCTGACTACTTATATATATATCCCTTTTGTCCCTTCTATTCCAGATGACAACATTAAGTATTAATTCTCTTCTTTTTTCCAAGCGGAATTCGACAGATTTATTTATGATTTTTTTTTTTTTTTTTGGCAAAATTAGCGAATTCGAACCCCCAAAACATTGATAATAATAACTGTAATAATAATAGAAATAATGAAAATTAAACGAACACTTACAGACGGACACCACCAACAGCAGGACGAGTGCAGGAATTCTGAGCATTTTGACGAATCACAAAAAAAAACGAAACCGAACTTTAAACACTTTTTTTCACTTCAACAGACTTCTTCCTTCGTCGTCTGAGTGACAGGTGAGCCTCCACTTCTAGTCTTCACGAGAGTCGAGGCGCAAGTGACGACAGATGGTCGAGCCGGCTTTTATACTGTAGGGGGTGACGTCACACTGACGTCATACCTTTTAGAGTTGTTTTCCCTGTGTGTCTATTACGTTTTATTTGTGTGTGTGTGTGTCTGTTGCGTGATTTATGATGCGGTCCGTTTAAGTGAGTACGTTCAGTTGCAGGAATACATACATACAGTTGCAGAAAACACACTTTTATTAAATATTTCAGAACGACAGAGGTGGACTTTTTAGATTTTTATGTTTGAAGTTAATATAAATGTTTTTTTGTGCAATAATTTAGTTTGAGAATGAAAGTAGATTTGTTTATTCCATGTGATTGTTATTTCATGACCTTTACATATAATTTCGTATGTTATTTTGTGATAACTTTTTCCAAATTATATTTTGATGCGGAAACCATTCAGTAAACCTTTTGCTCTCTCTCTCTCTCTCTCTCTCTCTCTCTCTCTCTCTCTCTCTCTCTCTCTCTCTCTCTCTCTCTCTCTCTCTCTCTCTCTCTCTCTCTCTCTCTCTCTCTCTCTCTCTCTCTCTCTCTCTCTCTCTCTCTCCTCTCTCTCTCTCTCTCTCTCTCTCTCTCTCTCTCTCTCTCTCTCTCTCTCTCTCTCTCTCTCTCTCTCTCTCTCTCTCTCTCTCTCTCCTCTCTCTCTCTCCTCTCTCTCTCTCTCTCTCTCTCTCTCTCTCTCTCTCTCTCTCTCTCTCTCTCTCTCTCTCTCTTTCGCAGTGACCTGTTCTCATGATCTCCTTCGCCTCGCATGCCAGAGAAGCCATCTGCTCCGAGCCTCACAGTAGTTCTGTTTTGTAAGATTGTAATATGTGTTTTTCTTTCCTTTTTTATTTGTATTTTTTTTTTCTCTCTCTCTCTCTGTGTGTCCGTCTGTCTGTCTTTCTATCTATTCATCCATCTATTTATCTATCACTCTCATTTACTTTACTTTTATCTGTCTATTCATGTATCTATATCTATCAGTCCGTCTACCTTGTTTTCTTCTTATTCATATATCAACCATTAATTCCCCTGTTTACATTCACCCATATGCTCACTCATTCACATGGACAAGCACGCAAGTACAGTGCAAGCAAG